CTCAGCACGATCAAGCTCTAAGCCTGGAACTGATGAATACCTGTAAAAATAAGAGTGGGTCAGGCCCACATGCAAGTTCTATCCTAACTGCAATCTAGACAGTGACCCGATACGCAGATACACCCTAGACATCTCAGCAATAGCTATCTAGTCCATACACATATAAATATCCACACTAAGGGACATTCACTGGACTATGTAGGGGGTCTCAACCTAAATAGAAGGCAACATGCAAAAACGCACCCAAAGGTGGGCATAAGTACCTAGACCTAACGGGGTACACCTCAACCTATTATAGCCAGCTACGCATCCACTGTATATACGCACCCTAACCAACGAGTCTGAGACTCAAGCTCAACTTGTGGTACCATAAACATATATATAAAGTCCGTCCAAATCCAGGGTATGCAGTTCAACTATTTATTAAACTGACATACAATAAACCAACTAGTTAGTCACTCAACATATTCAGTTAATATGACTTAACTACCATCCGTTAATCCAGGAAGTCATCCAACTTGGTTACAGCTGATCTGACTTAGTCACAATTAGGATTTGATATATTTCAATCCATTCCATTAATCCATTAGGTTAGGTTTATGCGTTTTGAGCTAAACTGTCCCTAGTATGTCACCGTCCCATACCGGTACATACAATCCTCCATATCCATGTAAATTACAACATATATAACAGTTCAATAATTTACAGACCCAAAAACCACCATCCAAATAATTGCAGAAAAATATTTAAAACTTCAGCAATTTAAATCCAAGCATTTAACCATATAGTTGCAGGAGACGATTTAATAAATCAACAACTAACCTCCTAAGCATGCATAGATCAAAATTAATAATTAAATGACCTTATCATGCACTTGAATGCATTCTAAAACAAGTTTTATAAACACATTATATTCCATCAAATTGCTGAAATTTAATTCAACAATTAATTTATCTTCCATTTGTTAGCAACATAGGGAGTGTCTTAATTTTTACACTGTTTGTCCCGACAATTTAGAATTAAACCCTAATCAATTTAAGGTCCTAATAACATCCAAATTCAGCCTTCTAAACTCTCTGTGGAACCCCAGACCCAACAGATTAAAAACCCATGCTCCAATAGTAAGCACAGTACGTAGAAAATTAAGAAAAAATTAAAACAAATCGTAAAATAAAAAGGGAGCCTGCTCCAAATTTTGGAGCAGGCTCTTTTTCAGCCTAGAGCCGGCTCTAGGACTCCTTAGAGCCGGCTCTACTTGTTGTGGGAGCCGGCTCCCACTTCTATGGAGCCGGCTCTCACCTTCTTTGAGAGCCTTCAGTCCCCGGTGCTTCGTTTCAGTCTGTTTGCTCTGTCTTTAGACCATCCCTACCACTCTGTTGATTTCTAAAACTCATCTTAAGAGTCTTATAACACCTTAGTAACACTCCCATGATTCGTTTACAGAAGTTGAAATCAAATTAAAACTAAATTTGTTACCGAAACGAAACATGCTTTAGGAATAAAACTGAAACTATTTTGCAATATCAATTCCATTCCAATCCCCTTTGTTCCTCTTCACTATTGAACTTAGGAGTTGTGATACCCCCCGGATTTTCGAATGTGGGTTGGCCAGGCCCACGCTCGAATACCCGAGGATATCAAAATAAATTGATAATAAACGAACACAGAGTACAAAAGACTAAAGAAGAATAAATAAAATGCTGACAAGAAACTAAAATGATAATCTAATAATAAACCTCAGAATATATTTCCATTAAATAATAAACTCTTCTGATACAACTGATCCTCTAAAATACAACTCGGGAATCCATACTGTGTGGACCCCTAGAAAATCCAAACTAAACAAATGACAGCAATAACTGTCTAAATCAGGAAACTGAATCATAAAGGAACTCCTATGTAGCATCGGAAGAATGAAGTAGACTGATCCCCGCTCAGCACGAACAACCTCTACTCGTGATGAACACCTGAAAAATAATGGTGGGTCAGGCCCACAAACAAGTTCTACTCTATTACAGTCCAAGCAGAGATCCGATACACGTATACATCCTAGTCAATCCAATAGTAACTAGTAGTCCGTATATATATATATATATACACACACTAAAGGAACCTCACTAGACTATAGGATTGTCTCAACTTGAATAGTAGGCAACATGCAAAACGCACATATAGTGGGCATGAGTACCTAGACCTACCAGGGTACACAACTATACTATATCTAGCTACACATCCCTGACGATATACGCGCCCTAACCATTGATCCTGAGACTCAAGCTCATATCATGGCACCATACTTATATATATATAATCTAGTAACCATCCTATCTAGTATAAATTAATTCTCCATAAGTCATTCAACTTGTTCAGCTGACCTGACTTGAATATAAGTAGGACTTAACATTTTAGTTAATCCATTCCCTTATATAATAAATTAATCCTCCATAAGTCATTCAACTTGTTCAGCTGACCTGACTTAAATATAAGTAGGACTTAACATTTTAGTTAATCCATTCCCTTATATAAAATAGGTAGGACTTAACTGATAAGTTAATCCATCTCTAGAATGCCACCATTCCATACCAGTGCATTAAACCACATAATCCAACAATTGATGTAACAATTAAGGAAATACATCAAACATTCCATAAATAATTATGATAAATATGATATCAATTTATCACATAATAGGAATGACTTGTTATTTCTTTAAACTTCTTATATCATATGTCCTATACAACCTAAATCTTATACATGATGATATTTTATTATACCGTTAAATAAGGATTCTCTATATTCAATTCATCCTACACATTTAATCTCAATTGCTAAAATATTTTAAAAGATTAAATCCATTCGTTTGTTTAAAACATTCAAATAGCAAGCATCATTATGATTGAGTCTATTTAAATTTATTAAAACCCAAACCTAGTCCCTATTTAATGTTCAGGAATCCTAGGCATGTTTCTACGTTCCATCATTCCATAGATATGAAAAATACATAATTTAAACATGTAAAAATTCACATTAGAAATCAAATCAAAATTATGCATTTTATCAATTCATAACACAAGAACAGATATGAAACAATTTCATAAAACCTATGTTCTAACCCAATTAAACATGCATAATTATTTAATTTTATGTGTTTAATAAATTCTGAAATTTCCTAGGCATGTACAGAAACACGAATCAAAGGGAAAGAGATAGAAGAAGAACTTGCCTTAAACTTTCGGATCGAAAGTTAAACTTCTTCTTCCTTGATCTTCTCTCTAAAGGGTTTTTCTCCTCATTCCTTCATTTTCCTCCTTCCCTCTCTAACACTATCTCTCTAGTATATATCACGTGAATATTTCTAACCCCCTTTTTCAACCTATAGCTATATATTTATAGACTAAATAAAATAACCCTAACCCTTTTCCTAATCCAAGTCAACTTAAAAAAAAATGAAAATAAAAATATTAAAAAGGTAAGCAAAATATGTTACGTATATAATTTATGTATATGATTATTAAATAAATAAATTATACACATTCCATTATTTATTAATTGATTATCCAATAATATTTAAGTTACCATAATATTATAAAGTAACTTAAAACAAAACACGTATCAAATCTATGTATATTTTTATTATTTAAATATAAAACATATACATCAGATTAAATATTACTACCCAAGTTACCATAAAAATAATTAATAAATTACTTTCCTTTTTATATATGTATATAATATATATCTATATATATACATATATTATCCATGGGTAATAATCCATACACATCCAACCTCCTATCCAAGTAGTCCATGGGACCCAATTGGTTGGCCCATTACTACTAACCATAACCATAAAAGAAAAATAAAATAAAATAATAAAAGAAAAGAAAATATTTAATTTACAATTAATCAAAACACCATTTAAGCACATAATCTAATTAAACAATTAACACATAGACAAATACAAATAATACATAGACACATAATCAAATAATCAAGTAATACCTAATTCAACTAAACACATAAGGAATTAGTCAAATAATTAATTAAATAATTAAAAAATACAATTAAAACAAATAAATAAATACCGAGACTATCCTTTTAAAATTAGGGGTATTACGGGAGTCTTATCTAATCCCAGTAGCATCCCAATCATTCGTTTACAGTTGTTCAAAGAAAATACAGTAACCAAAATTCTAATAGAATTTACATGCTTTAAGAAAACAAAACTAAACAGACTTGCACGAATTGTAACAGATTTAATTTCAACAACGAACAGCCATCAATATAGCATATATTAACCATGTAAATTCCAGTTCCTGATTAATTAAACCCTAGAGACTATCTAGGTGCACAGAACACAAGCCAAAGGGAAGGAGGAAGAAAAGAACTTGCCTGTGATTTCAGTAATGAAATCTCGGCGTCGTCTCTAAGTTTCCGGCAACTGCTAACTTCCTTCAAGCCTCCTATGGGTTTGACTTAATCTACCACATCCCTCTCTTGATCCTCTCTATTATTCTCCTTGGTAGCTCTTATGATTTCCTCTGTTCTCTCAACTCTCTCTTTGTTCTGTTTTATTTCCACTGTGCCGTGAATAAGGTTCTCCCAACCCTCAGTAAAAACTCATACACGTATATATATAGGCACTTAGAAAACCTTAATTAAACTAGAGTTAAGACAGAAACCCTAATCAAACTAGAGTCAGCCGATAAAATCCTAATCATATACATATATAACAGATACCTATATGACGTCCCAATAAAACCCTAATCTTAAATAAATAAATGAAAACAAATAATTAAATTAAAATAGTAAATCAAAGAATTAAAACTACATCATTTAAATCAACTTACCAAATAAACCAATTCAATTAAATCAAATAACCAATTAAATTACACAATTAAATCAAATAATGAAAGAAAACAATTAAACACCCAAGCAACTAGTCACATAAAAATGAAATAAAAATAATTAAATTCCAATTTTATCCTTTTTAAAACTAGGGGTATTACAATAGCCCATCGGGAACTATCTTTTTGTCATCCCGAGATACTTCTGATATTTCAAAAACTGGCCAAATGGTTTTTGAAATGTTAGATGAGATTGTGGAAAAAGTTAGAGAAGAAAATGTTGTACAAGTTGTGACTAATAATGCTTATAACTACAAATTGGCTGGAGAGATGTTGATGGAAAAGAGGAAAAAATTATTTTGGACACTTTGTGCCACTTATTGCATTGATTTGATGTTGGAGAATTTTGAGAAAAAAATTGATATGCATAGTGAGACAATTGAAGATGGAAGGATGATTGTTTCATACATTTATTTAAGGTGTATGCTTAACCATTGGATGAAGGAATTCAGAGATGGTAAGGAGCTTATTAGACCTGCAGTGACGCGATTTGCCATTTCTTACTTAACTTTGCAGCGTCTTAATCAACTAAAAGGAGAATTGATGAATCTTTTTACATCCTCTAAGTGGAAGTCTAGTAAGTTTGCAAGGACACGTCAAAGGAAAAGAGTTGAAGGCGTGGCTTTCGACAATCGTAACTTCTGGATAAATGTTGCCAATTGTCTAAAAGCTGCAATACCTCTTATTAAAATACTCCGATTGGTGGATTCTGATGAGAGACCGGCTATGGAATTCATTTATGGAGCAATGGATCGTGCCAAGGAGGAAATTAAGAAAAACTTCAATGGCATCAAAAAGTGGTAAAGTTTTAATTTATTTAAAAACTAAAAGAGTAATAGAGTTTTTTATTGTTTGGAATATAGTATTATTTATAAATAGTGAAACTGAAAATTATTAGACTTACATTAAATTAACGATTTTGCAGGTATGAACCTATTTGTACGATCATTGATGCAAGATGGGCATCTCAACTTCATCAACCCTTGCACGCGGCAGCATATTTTCTGAATCCCCAATTCCAATATAGTCCAAGTTTCCATTTAGATGCAGATGTGAAAATGGGAGTTTATAAATGTCTCCAAAGAATGGTTCCTGATTCTAATGAGAGACTAAAAATTGATTGCCAAATGGACACATTCAAAGCTGCAAGATGGCTCTTTGGCTTAGATAATGCAATATTGACAAGGAGCAAGAAGTCTCCAGGTTAGAAAATGCAATATTGATATTTGATAATTTATTTTATTTCGTAATTCAAATGCCAATTGAAAATTGAATAGTTTAAACTTTAATGTTATAATTTTTTTAATATAATAGCTGAATGGTGGGATTCATATGGTGATGAGTGCCCCGAGTTGAAGCGGTTTATAATTAGAATATTGAGTTTAACATATAGCTCTTTGGGATGTGAAAGGAATTGGAGTGCCTTTGAGATGGTAAATTACTGAATAATACATAGTTCTAAAATTTTAATAATGTTGTAGTTTAATTTTAAGTTTTAACCTTATTGGTAATATATTTAGGTGCATTCAAAAAGGAGAAACCAGTTGCAACAAAAGAAAATGAATGATTTGGTATTTGTTATGTATAACATAAAATTGAGGGAAAGGAACTTGAAAAGACAAGCCGTCATAGAACTAATTATTTTTGAAGATGTCTCTTCCGATGATGAATGGGTTACCGAAAAAGAGGATCCGATCTTCCAACAAAAACTAAATGGTTGAGTGTTCTTGATGGCAAAGTTCAAGAAGATGATTCCGATGAAAAAGATGAAGTAGAAAGGATGACTAGGACACGTAAGAACTTAAACTTTAAACTTTTATTATAATATTGTATAAATTATTACATTATATTAATTTTTGTTCTTTCTTTATGCTTTGTAGTTGAGGAAATTTATGCAATTGATGATAATGAAGATTTGAAACCATTAAATCCTATTGATGAAGCTAATGAGGAAGATGGTGAAGGGTTCAATGATGACTTTATGGATATGTAATTTTAGTTTCTAACTTTGGAGAGGGATGAGTTATGATTTGAGATTTGTGGACTATGTTATTTTGTGTTACATCCTCTTTTATTTATATTCAGACTTTGGAATATTTTCTTTTACTTTTATTTATATTCGGACTTTAGAATATTGTTAGGATTTGAGATTTGAAGTCATGGATATGTAATATGGTGTGTTTTGGCCTTATTTTGGTTATATTTTACATATCTTATTGTTTAGGAAGTTAGTTTCAATTAATTTTTCACAATTTGGTAGAATCTTACTATTCACGATCCGATTCTACGATTCCGATTCTACGGAGCCCAAAACAATTCTACGTAAAATCCCGATTTTAACAACCTTGCTCTCTAGTAAGTGGTTTTCCAAGACTAGCAGAGGAGATTGAGCAAATGAGACTGGAACAATATGCTTCGGCATATAGGAGTCTCATATATGCCATAGTCTATACCAAACAGGACATCCGCTACATAGTAGGGATAGTCAGTGGATATCAGTCTAATCCTGGACTTGATAATTGGTTTGTTGTGAAAAATATCATAAAGTACCTTACGAGAACCAATGATCTCATACTCATTTATGGATGTGATGATGTGGTTCTAGTCATGTATGATAGTTCTGATTTTAAATCAGTTATATAAGGTCCATGACTTAGTGTATGTTCACTTAATGAAAGGGAAATCAATTAGTAGATTGTTAAGCAGATTTCAACCGCTGACTCAAACCTACAGGGGAAGTACATTGCAGCCTTAAAGGCGGCAAAGGAAACCTTTTGGTTTGATCTAACTGATTTAGAGGTTGTGGAGCATACTAGCCTGCCTATCGAGCTTTATTGTGTTAGTAGTGCAGAAGTAGTCCAAACCTATGACCCAAGGTTCCATAGAAGAACAAGGTACATTGATAGGAAGTATCATGTCTTACAGGATATTGTTCGGCAATAAAATGTACTCATGGCTAGGACATTGCATTGGAACACAACTCTGTTGATCCATTTACAAAGGTGTCATCGATCAATAGTTTTGATCAACACCTGGATAACATTGGAGTTAGATGCAATTTGAATTGGCTATGAGGGCAAGTGGGAGCTGTTGGGATTTATATGCCCTGGCATAGCAAATTCTTATTTGGATTATAGTGACATATGTTCCTTACGTTTCTGAAATATTTATGTTTTATACAATTGGTGAATTAAATGTATTATGTTTCGATTCATTATAAAATTGATAGTGTCCACTTGATTACAAGAAATATTTATATATGTATGTGATGGCGATCAATACATGAATATAAATAGTAATCATAAATTGTTCATAGTCGGTAATTATGGATGGACTCATAATTAATTAAGACTTGAACTGGATCCGCGTTAGGTTGAGATATATTGCGAAAGCCGTCGTATGTAATTGCTCCCTATCACTGTCATGGTATTTTGACTCTTAAGCATGAGAAAAATATAAATTTTTTTATTAATTAATAATTACTTTGATTTGTTCGGCAGATACTTCGGGATCCTTAGATCGACACTTTGGGTATTTATGTAATTAATAGTTAGAGGGTTATATTTTCAATATTTGCATCATTGTTACTTGTATTTATTTTGTATTGATTATGGTTGATCACAAAGTAAATTCGAAAGCCTTCGTGTGTTTTTAGACAAAATGATTTATTATATATATATTTATTTAAATTATTATTTTTGTCAAACAAATATTTTATTGTGATCGAGTCAGAAATAATCAAACGTACCAAAATATATATATTAATTAAGTAGTCAGATTGATGGCTTTATTTATCCGATAACTAATTATGCATAGAGGGATCAAAGTGCAACATTGACTTAGAGGTTATTTATTATTTAATTGGAATTTAATTAATTTCTTTTAGTGGAGTAGAAATTAATTTATGAATTAATTGAATTGGGTCTATGGACCGGGCCAATTATTAATTCATTGTAACTAATAAAATAATAAACCCAAAGGATTCTCACTCATAACCCAACTTGATATTGGAATCCTATTAGATTTGAGACATGTGAATTAGATATTGAGAATGATTTATTGTTTCTTTTTCTTTATCTTTATGTTGCCTATATATATACATGGTCTATGTATATTTTAGGGTGACTTTTGGAAGGAGGAAAAATGAATATATTTTCTCCCTTTAGAGAATTAGGGTTAATATTCTTATCTAATGGAGGCTCCCACAAGCCTAGTTTTCCAAAGTCATTTATGGAGGCTTATGAGTGATTCCTAAAGGCAAAACAATTACCAAGAAGATAGAGATCCAAGGAGAAAGTATCTTACTAAGGGATCTACAAAAAGTGAGAACATTTACTTTAGAGGAAAGATTTAAAGGTTTACTCAGACCTTTTATGTAAGTATTCAATCTGCTAATTGAATGACACATCATATTTTATTTTTGCATAAAACTTGTCTCTATGTGATGAATCAAGATCTGTGAATGAAAATCCCTCAAAAAGTTTTTAAAACTAGCATGTTTCCCAACACTATCATCCTTGATAAGAAAGCAACTACTAATTGTTAGCCTTTATACTACAATTTATACCAAACAGAACAATATTATAGAGCCAAATGATAAAATAGTAGTCATAAAAACCTTGTTTCTTCTAGTTCACAAATTTGTTACTTCAACAGGTCAGTCATAGAAATCTTCTTTATCTTACCATTTGTGTTTACGTTTTAAAACATCAATCCCTTACGGTATCCAAGCACAATTGTCAGGGGTCACCTATCTTAGTACTACTTCAGGTTAAGTACGCTTAACTTTGAAATTCTGATTGGTTTATATCCATCGCGGCTTTAAAACGCATTGTTTCATAGGAGTGTTGAATCTACATATAACACTTGTCCCATCTGCACCCAGGTGATGTGTCGCCCACAAGGTCACCATAATCACTCCTTTTGGGGACCAACGTTCTCGTTGGCCATAACGCTCACCCTATCTAGACACAATATTTATCAGCTTTTTGCTCCCCCAGACCAGAGACTTCCCATGCGGTCACCTACAATATTGTTCGCTTTTGGCTTCCTGGACCAGAGACTTCTTTTAACTCTGAAATTCTGGTGGGTTCATGGTCATCACGGCTTTAAAACCCGTTATTTTATAGAAGGGTGTTGAATCTACATATAACACTTGTCTTATCTGCACTCAGGCGATGTGAGATTGTATACCTGTAGCTCTCCCAGTAAGGTAATATACTGGTGCCACCTATACGGCTATACACACTCACACACACCCACCCACCCACAAGGGCGACACAAATTGTCTGAATAGTTGTGTTGCTCCCGGTGTCTGTAGCCCTCCCTCTAACCACAAACCCTTAACAATCTTGCCATGAAAAGAAAGAAAAAAAAAAAGAAAAAAAATTCATTTTTTACACAAATAATACAAAAATACACACAAATTTTGGAGGAGAACAAAAAAAGAGAGGTTTGGGCTATCTTTAAACAATCGAGTGTTGTGTCTTCGCGGTTAGTCTACTCTGGAAGTAGAAAATGTCGAACTTGATAAGCTCAACTTCAAGTTCAACAAAGATGATGTTAATCGCGAGCAGAGACTACTGCTTCATAAGCTCCACAAAAGCCTCTCTCAACCATTTCCGTCGTCTAACGTGTGCCGCCTCTCCCTCTTCTGTTTATCCTGCGCGGTTGGCGCCACACCCACCTGACCTGATCAAATGGGTCCAGAGAGAAGGGGGTTTCGTCCACCAGGCAGTGAAGATAGCACAGATTGAAGAACCCTACGGTCTTGGGTTGGTGGCGTCTGATGAAATCCCAAAAGGGTCTGACCTAATTGCCCTTCCTCATCACATACCGTTGCGGTTTGAGTCTCTTGAATCGGATGGTGAAAGTGGTGCTTATTCTGCTTTGGTTAACTTGGCTCGTCAAGTTCCTGGTATGGGTTTCTCTCTTGCATTTGGTTTAGTTTGTTTGTGGGATTCATTACAATACATGTTTTCAAATAATTTGATTAATGGGTATTCTGAATTACAATAATTTTGATTTTACCATAAATTTTTTGTTTTGTGATGATTTAAGTAGTTTCTGGTCATCACTATATAAGAATTGGGTGTATCTATTTGTAGCGTATTATACTTATTTTTCAATATGTTAATGGGATTTTGCATTGCCAATAATAAGTATTGATATAGAACTTGTTTTGGGATAATTTAGTTGATGGGAACAGTGCATTCTTACTATCTCAGAATTGGGTGTCATTTAATTGGTAACGAAAGTTACATGTTTGGAGAGAATGTAAGTAACGCTTATGCTGCATTGTCACTTCAGAGGAATTTCTTAATTTATTTATATATAAGATTTTTTCTTTTGTTGAATAGTTTGATTTATAGGCATTGTTAATTGTCACCATTGGTTTGATTGATTAATTGTATATGATAGAATTTTTTTGTCTGCCGTGCAATTTTTGTTGATTTTTTTCAGTGCACTTTTGAAGGATACTCTATAATATAGTGAGTTCATCGATAGTAATTTTCTTTTTGTTAATTTTTCTTCATCAACACGAAGTATTTCAAGGAAAATTTTAACATAAGGCTCGGTTTCTTTAGACAAAAATAAAAATGTTCACGTGAATTTTTTATTTTTTAATTTTGTTTATCACAAAGTAAGAGACTTTGTTAATCTCCCGAGTCATCTTAATAAAATATGCTTTGACATAAATGGAGGGTTAATTTCCTGGATAAAATTACCAGCATCACTGGAGGCTTATCCGGTCGTCCTTGTGGGATTAGTCGAGGTGCGCGCAAGCTGGCCCGGACACCCACGATTAAAAAAAAAAACTGAAGCTGTGGATTTATTTTTTTTCTTCTATTTAGGTTAGCTGAAGAAACAAGATGAACCACGAGATATTGTGAGCTACATGGGCTGTTAGACAATATATAAATGTGAAAAAATACTTTTATCACAATGTGAAAAGTAGTGTTTGTTCACATTTTATGGTCAAACTAGAATAGTGGCTGTAATTTGATGTGATTGTTGGTAGAAGTTGGAATTACATGGATTCATGTAGTGCAGTAAAATAAATTTTCTTGTATATTTATGTCCTTATATGGATTCTTGATTTCTCCACTTGAAGGCTTCATGATTCTCTGGTTTGGGGAAGAGGTTAAAGCTGTGTTCTCTATTCTTCATTTAGGAAGCAGTGCTGGATGTCCATTAAAAGTTACCATAATTTGTTGTGTGTTACATAGCATATTAGCATCTGAATGCTCAGATTGCTACCGAGACGTCCTTGCATCCAACAAAAATTCATATAGTAAATTCTTAATTAGGCGTTATTTTGAACAAGTGAGGCGAAAACAGGATGATTCCTTACTGTTTGCAACACAATAGACTCATTCAAGTGCTATGTACAAGACTACAACACAATTGACTTTTTTTAACACTTGTGTCATCTTTACATTTGAAGGTGTCTCAGATACTTTAGTCCTTAAGATTCTCCTTCCATTTTTCCTGTCAAGGACGAAGATGCTACAATTACCACTTTCTCCTTCATGTTTAAGTTCTCAAATAATCAGAAAAGGCCTTTTTGAGTTGAGTTGAAACTTTTAAGATTGTGGTCTCTTTGACAACCAAAAAGCTACCACACTGTATAAGCTTGTTACACCTTATCAATTACAACTAAAACAATGCGAAAGTAAACATCAAACTATTTGAAATTAAGGCGTGTGTTTACTAAAATTAGACTTATCAAAAAAAAATTTATCGTTGTGTTAACTAAATTAGATATTGAACTTTGTGATGGACATAAAACCAAGTGCTATATATGTTGCCTCTAAGCTTAATGTAATGGAAAGAATCAATGTGCTACATAAGTGAACATAATTTTTTTCATTATTCAGAGAACATAGTCCCATAACAAAATGGGATCACCAAAAATTTATGTCTTCTTAATTCACACATAAGATTCGGAATCTATGTGATAGGCTTTCTTATTGCAGATTAGTTGGAAAATCCTTGAAGTCATGTTCACTACTTCCAGGAAAGTTGGATCCTACAGTAATTTATGTGTATTCTATAACAGCAAAATATGATATAGATGGAGTCACATGGTTGATCCAGATCTATTACATATCTGCACAAACTGGGAAAGTAAATGCATGAAGATTTTTTCATTAATCACCGATGGTTGGTTGGAACCGAGCCTATGGTGGTTGAGTCTTCATAACAATCTCGTTGACAACAGTCGACCGTGGTGTATCTTCACATGAAACCATGGTAATTGCCAAGTTTTTCTTTTCCTTTTAATTTGAATAAGTTAATTAACAGGATTTTCAAAATCAATGGAGCTGATCAATCAAACACCAACCAATTTCTGACTTGAAAAAATGTCCCTTACTGTTATAGAATAAACTGAGGCCATATAAGCCACCAACTGAAAGTAGCTCAAAAACCCTGGCAAGTAATGGCCCTCAAACCACACTAGGACACTAGGACGGGGAGTCGTCTTCAGATGGTGCTAATCCTTATCGTGATGATGTCAGCTTCTGTTCAGCAGCCCCCCTTCTGATTGAGTCATGATTTCAGGTCACTTGCTTTGATACAAAGTTTGTTAAGGTTTTTTAGCTAAGATTAACAGAAAAAGGATAAACGTGAAAATGGGATATTAAGTAAGGGAAGAGGAGGAAAAAGGAGAAAAAAGGAGAGAGTGAAGAGAATGAGAAAACATTAGGGTTCTATTTCTGCGATTAATATTTTGTATACTAAACTAGCTAGCAGAATTACTAATTGCCTCTTTGTAAGTTGATAGATCTTTCTGAGGAGTAATTTCCAGGATGATTTGGTTTTTTTTTAAAAATGTAGGATGGTACCCGGTCATGTTGGTCATTGTCATATAATGGTTTAGCGTGCTTATAGTGAAATGTTTTATCACTTATGGTGCATGGTTTCCAATTTTGTCATATCAGTGGTCATATTCAGGTTTTTTCTCTTCCCAAAATTTTACATCAATTCCTATGGTATGAAACCTTGGCTCCTGTATGTATGTAAGCTTCACTTAGATTTTCCTATTCTCATTATAGTTTGGCTACTATAATTTGCATAAAAAAGTAGGTTAGAAGTTTTAAATATGAGGAATAAACTGCACACTTGAAGCAATTTACAGAGGAGCTATGGGCTATGAGACTGGGTTTGAAGCTTCTGCAGGAAAGAGCAAAAATGGGTTCCTTCTGGTGGCCATACATCAGCAATCTCCCAGAAACTTACAGCATTCCCATTTTCTTTCCCGGGGATGATATAAAGAACTTGCAGTACGCTCCTCTTCTTTATCAGGTATATTTTCACTGACCAGCTTAAGGATGGCATTTTCTGCTGAACTGCATTTATTTCATTTTATTATCTCTCTTTATATATATCAAACTATTGAACTTTCTGCAATGCTGGTAAAGTCCAGCTGGCTGGATGCAAAGGCTGACAACATCCCTGAAGTTGTTTTGTAAAATGAGATAGGAGAGACATCTCTTTTTCATGGTTACTCTTTTAAATTTACGAAACAACTTTGTATATATTTTCCAGCATCTGTTTCTGTTCTTGCGCTGGGTTTTCTTTGAAGAGCTAATTCAAAACATGAATACTCTTGTGCTGAAGTTTGATTTCCAAGATTCTCTCTTAATTTTGCAGTGATATTTGAATATAGTACTATTTTTTCATACCAGGTAAACAAGAGATGTCGGTTTCTTATTGATTTTGAGAAAGAAGTCAAATGTGCACTTGAAAATCTGAAACCGGATGATCACCCTTTTGAAGGCCAAGATGTAGATGCTTCTTCGCTAGGATGGGCTATGTCAGCGGTTTCATCTCGAGCCTTCCGCTTGTATGGCAAAAAACTCCCTGATGGAACACACATTGATGCCCCCATGATGCTTCCACTTGTTGATATGTGCAACCACAGCTTCAATCCAAATGCTAAAATTGTTCAAGAACAAGATGCAGGGAGCCCAAAGATGCTAGTAAAGGTTGGTTTCTCTCTCTCTCTCTCCTCCTTCTTCTTCTTTTTTAATTTTTTGTCTCTATTTTAATATGTTTACTCTATGCTAACCAGGTAGTGGCAGGGACACAAATAAAAAAGGATGATCCTTTAGTACTTAACTATGGCTGTTTGAATAATGATCTTTTCCTTCTAGATTATGGATTTGTGATACCCTCAAATCCCTATGACTGTATTGAACTCAAGTACGATGGAGCTCTTCTGGATGCTGCAAGCATGGCTGCTGGAGTGTCATCCCCTAACTTCTCTTCACCAGCTACATGGCAGCAACAGATTTTGTCGCAGCTAGATTTAGATGGAGAAGCTCCTCTTCTCAAGGTTTTCTGCTTCCCTATATTGATTTTTTATTATAAATATTTTGATTTCATTTAGTTTCCTTTTTTATGCACACACCTTAGCTTAAAGTAAGCTTTTTCAAGCTCTCCAGTTTCCCAACCTCAGATTAGGGAACTATTATGCTTTAGATGCTGTGATTTTGATTGAGCTTATGAGCTTTTGCCTTAGCCACTTTAAAACACTTGTATAATTTTGTAACGACCCACTCCACCACATGGTATGATATTGTCCGCTTTGGGCCTGAGCCCGCACTGTTTTTACTCTTGGACTTCATCCCAAAAGGCCTCATACCAATTAGAGATGACACACTTACATATAAGTACTTCACCTTTCCTCTACCCAGGCGATGTGGGACTGTGCACCCGTAACTCGCCAGTGTGGTAGCCTGATAGTGTCTCTCGTACCTGCCCACGGCACACTCGCCCACAAGGTCATCACAATGCACCCCCCTTAGAGGCCCGACGTCCCCGTCGGCACACTTCCGACTGGGTCAGGCTCTGATACCATTTGTAACGACCCATTCCACCACATGGTATGATATTGTCCGCTTTGGCCTGAGTCCGCACGGTTTTACTCTTGAGCTTCACCCCAAAAGACCTCATACCAATTGAAGATGACACACTTACATATAAGCACTTCACCTTTCCTCTACCCAGGCGATGTGGGACTGTGCACCCGTAGCTCGCTAGTGTGGTAGCCTGACAGTGTCTCTCGCACCCTCCCACGGCACACCCGCCCACAAGGTCATCACAATCCACCCCCCTTGGAGGCCTGACGTCCCCTTCGGCACACTTCCGGCTGGGTCAGGCTCTGATACCATTTGTAACGACTCACTTTACCACATGGTATGATATTGTCCGTGTTGGGCCTGAGCCCGCACGGTTTTTTCTCTTAGGCTTCACCCCAAAAGGCCTCATACCAATTGGAGATGACACACTTACAAATAAGCACTTCACCTTTTCTCTATCCAGGCGATGTGGGACTGTGCACCCGTAGCTCGCCAGTGTGGTAGCCTGATAGTGTCTCTTGCACTCGCCCACGGCACACCCGCCCACAAGGTCATCACAAATTTCATAGCATGAGGCCTTTATGTGTGTGCTTTAACAATTAGCCAAAATAAAGAAACAGTCATAAGCCAGCACCATGCTTGTGGAATTTTGACAGGAACTTGAAAGCCTGTCTTGGTTTTTCCAAATTAATAGTACCACATGGCCCACGACTGGTGCTGGAATTTAAGCAAAATCCATTCCTCTGACATATTTAGTTTCTTAACAATCAAAAAGCCTGCTCACATACAGTATTTCAAATGACAAAAGCCCCCAGTGGCTTATAACTTGTGCAGAAAGTTTGCTACATTTTTCGGAAAAGGAATTGAGTCTCCCATAAATTTTTAGCCTAACCTTAAACACTGTAAGCTGATAAAGGCTTCCAATAAAGATGTATGTGGTTATGCAGTGAACAATTTGCCATGAATTTCACTGATGCAGTCTTTTTGTCAGATTGATCATCTTATTTTCAACAAGATGATAACTGCTCGTCTTGAATTCTTCTTCTTCTTCTCTCTCTCTCTACAGGTAAGCTTAGGAGGTCCTGAATTAGTAGAGGGCCGATTGTTGGCTGCTTTAAGAGTACTCCTTTCAAATGACATGGAAGAAGTACAGAAGCATGAATTGATTACACTCAAATCATTATCAGTTGAAGCCCCTCTTGGAATATCAAACGAAGTTACTGCTCTTCGCACAATTATTGCACTTTGTGTGATTGCACTTGGACACTTCCCCACTAAAATAATGGAGGACGAAACCCTATTAAAACATGGTGTCTCTGGTTCAACTCAGTTGGCTATACAGTTCAGAATCCAAAAGAAGTCCATGATTGTAGATGTGATGAGAGATCTCACAAGTAGGGTGAAGCTACTCCTGTCAAAGGAAACAACAACTGCTCAGGGTTAAGTTGCCCCTCATCATGACAGGAATCATTTAATTGCGCTGGCTCATTCTTGGATGCCACATTCTTCATGACATGTATGTTTTTTACTGACACCATTTTTCGTTTTTATTCTTACTTGTCAAATTTGATCTTAATGTTTTCACATGCTTTTCTACTTCTTAGTAATTTATTTAGTCTCTTGGAAATTTTGGCTGGTTGTCCTCGTTGGTGAGTACCCCTGTTCAACTGTGTTCCCCGTTTATGCTTATTTCACCATTTGTAAATTTTTTCATTAGTTATTCAACTAGAATTTAATGGAAGATCTCTTGAACTCGTCTATTCTTGCTTCTGAAAGTGCTCTTACATTTTTATATTATACTATATTTTATTATTATTGTTTTTTGTGTGCATGTCCATGTTAAGATAACTTTAGATTATGGATTTAGAAATTGGCAGTTTATGTCGAAGTCCTATGCCTAACTAAGATGGATTGCCTGAAAATTAGATTAACACCGATCAGCTTTCTACGTTAAGTCTGAAGAACATGGGCTCAAAACTCTACTTTTGACTTTGGTAAAGGGATCCTATAATACGGATAGCTTCTCCATTACGAAAAATGGGGTTAATTGAGTCCTACTCCCAATGGTCAGGTCGAGTTCCTTCATATCAATCGTGTGACTAACTAGGAATGTAATATGTACACATGATGTGTATTGTTCTTAAAGAAAAAACTGTGCTTTAATAATAGTTACAGGAACTTTTACTGATTAAGCTTTACACTTAGACAAAGTAAAAGAATTCTCAATGCTGTATTTACTTTACTTTCATAAAGAAAGAGTGAAAACACCTTCCCTCTGTCTTTTCCTTGCTTTTCCTGTTTTCCATCATATGGTAACGGTAAAGAGAACACAATATTTATTTGTTATGATGCTGGATACCAGATCATGGCTCACAAATATGGCATGACTATACATGTATCTATTGTTTTCCATGTATACAAAATATTTTCCCAATATTGATATAAATATTAAATACTCAGTAAACAGCACAGATTGAAATATTGAATGTGAATGATTTTAGGAGATTCTAGTGCTTCATGCAGTAAAATTAATAGTAATAATGATGGTTAGGATGATATCAAGTGTTTTTTTGTGTGTGTGTGTGTGAAAGTTAAAGCGCACACACACACCATTCAGAATATGTCCCTAGTAGAACTCAAACTCTCAACCTCCCCCCTTTTGAGAAGGAGAGATCCTACCATTGAACCAGAGACCCTTTACTAAGAGAGGTATAGTTGATACACCGAGAATATATTGAAATTTTGAATAATTAAAATACATGCTAATAACCATATGATATTATATTACTCAAGTAATCCTTCTCATGTCTCAAAGTGAAAACACACAAACTATTGCAAAATCAGAACTGGTCAGAGAATAGTAACAAAACAGAATTTTAAGATATTTTCTTTGACTGCACAGAGGGGGTGGGGAAAAGGATGAACAAATAGAAGAAAATTAGTTGTTTCTTTTTTAAGGTTTCAACTGAAGATGATCATAGTGGTAGACCGCCTAAAGTTTAGGAGTTGATTTTTTCTCTTGATTTCCTTGTTAGCCACAATTTCTGGAAATTGTGTTTTTAGTTGCTTTGGCTTAGAGAGGTGCTCCTCTCTATTTCTTGTATGATAGCGTTGCTTTTAATAAAAACTTTCTTAGGAAAAAAAAAAGAAAAAGAAAAAAGATTACGAATTCAACAGTTAAATTGATGAAAATGAAAAAGGACCCTTGTTTCTTGAATTTTTTTTTTTTTTTTGATAGGTGAAAAGGTTAAAGTTCTAATATTTGATCCGTATCTGCAAAATTTGAAGCTCTGAAACCAGGAAACAGAGCAACTGTCATAAGACCATCAAAACTGATGGGAGTAGAAGTTACCAATCAAGAAACTCCTCATCTTCTTCTAAATGAAAATATGTACAACTAAAGATGAAATCCAGAACACAAACTGTGGTGAAGAGGGAGCAGAAAAACAAAAGAGAACTGCTAATCCTAGAGAGACAACTGTGGCCCGAACCATCCTCTATGATGATTCTATATTTCTATAATACGGATAGCTCCTCCATTACGAAAAATGGGGTTAATTGCGTCCTACTCCCAATGGTCAGGTCGAGTTCCTTCATATCAATCGTGTGACTAACTAGGAATGTAATATGTATTATGTACACATGATGTGTATTGTTCTTAAAGAAAAAACTGCGCTTTAATAATAGTTGCAGGAACTTTTACCGATCAAGCTTTACTCTTAGACAAAGTAAAAGAAATCTCAATGCTGTATTTACATTAATTTCATAAAGAAAGAGTGAAACACCTTTCCTTTGTCTTTTCCTTGCTTTTCCTGTTTTCCATCGTATGGTAATGGCAAAGAGAACATAATATTGATTTGTTATGATGCTGGATACCACATCATGGCTCACACATATGGCATGACTATACATGCATCTATTGTTTTCACAAGCACAAAATATTTTCCTGATATTGATGTAAATATTAAAGACTCAGTAAACAGTACAGATTGAAATATTGAATGTGAGTGATTTTAGGATAGTCTAGTGGCATGCAGTAAATTCATAGTATTAATGATGGTTAGGATGAGATCAAGTGTTATTTTTATTTATTTATTTATTTTTTTTTGTGAAAGTTAAAGCAAATACATACCATTCAGAATATGTCCCTAGTAGAACTCAAACTCTCAACCTCCCCCTTTTGAGAAGGAGAGATCGCCACATTGAACTAGAGACCCTTTGGTAAGAGAGGTAAAGTTGATACACCAAGAATATATTGAAAATTTAAATAATTAAAATACATGCTAATAACCATATGATATTATATTGCTCAAGTAATCATTCTCATGTCTCAAAGTGAAAACACAAACTATTGCAAAATCCTAATTGGTCAGAAAGAATAGTAACAAAAGAGAATATTACGATATTCTCTTTGACTGGCACAGGAGGATGAAAAAATAGAAGAAAATTATTAGCTGATTCTTTTTTAAGGTTTGCCTAAAGGTTAGGAGTTGATTTTTTTCGCTTGATTACCTTGTTGGCCAATTTCTGGAAATTTGTGTTTTTAGTTGCTTTGGTTTAAAGAGGTGTCCCTCCCTATTTCTTGTATGATAGTGGTGTTTTTAATAAAAACTTTCTTAGAAAAGAAGATAAAAATATTACGAGTTCAACAGTAAAATTGATGAAAACGAAAAGAACCCTTGTTCTTTTATTTTTCTTTTTTGATAGGTGAAATGAAAAGAACCCAGGTTAGAGTATTCTAATATTTTCTCTGTATCTGCAAAATTTGAAGCTGTGAAACAAGAAAACAGAGCAACTGTCATAATACCATCAAAACTGATGGGAATACAAGTTACCAATCAAGAAACTCCTCATCTTCTTCTAAACAAAAATATGTACAACTAAAAGATGAAATCCAGAACACAAACTGTGGTGAAGAGGGAGCAGAAAAACAAAAGAAACAAGAAAAAGAGAAAAGAGAACTGCTAATCCTAGAGAGACAACTGTGGCCCGAACCATCCTCTATGATGATTCTATATTTGTGTCTATGAATTGCCAACTGAGATAGGTCTATCAGCTAATCCCAGAGGCGAGCGGGAGCGCTGCTGACGCCGCGTGATCTCCCGGAGAGCAGGTCTCATCTCCGGATCCTCCAGCGACGGGTACTTGATCTTCTCCATCTCTTGCTTGATCTTTCTGACTTGGCTGTGAATAGCAACACCCAGATACCTGTCTTCTTTGTTGTTGTTGTTGTTCTTCTTGCTGCTGTTCTCCATTTCTGACTTCTGCTTCATAGAGAGAAATCACACCTTACACACGAAACACCTATAACTCTTTGCTTATAAGGGACTTTAAAACGTATACACATCTGTCCATGTATTTATATATGGAAAGAGATTTGAAAAAGACACGATTTGTTCATGAATAGTGACGAAAGGAAGGTAGTAATGAATGGGTCATTCATGCCCCTTCCTTCCTTGGATAAATTGGAGACGACTCTTTTGAACCGGTGTGTATAATATTCTACCGGAAATGCCCTCGTCCTTCATTAAAACTACTAAATCGCCCTTGGTGATTTAATTTCACTGATTCTGTTTTTAATATATTTTATACATCCACCATCTTTGTATTAAGTATTAGGCTGACCGTCTAGCTACCTCGTACATGGGTGACCCGCTGTTGAATATTCATATGGATGATGTTTTTAAGGAAGACTCGATCATCCCAAAAACATATACTTCTATCAAGGTAACATTTGAATCTTTATTTATTTATTTATTTTTGGTTGTTTCTGTATTTCGTGTCTGTGCTTTATAGTTTTATAATATTTAAAAATATATATAAATGGAAAATAAATTAAATGACGAAAAGTGAAAAAGAATTGTTGAGATGATATTATGTTTAATGCAGACGAGCGTGTTGATATATATTTTTTATTTTTATTGTTTAATTAATTGGTTTAAATTTTCGATTTGAATAGCAAATGGATCGGATCCTATGTCTTGTATGGTATCGATGTTATTGATTTTGCGGGATTTGAAGTAAAAATTGAATTTTTGGCGTCAAAAGATGCTGGAAATTGTCAAATTGGACGTGTGGAAGACTTGGAAAGGGCGGCTTTCTTTCACACTGGAGGATTCCTAAGTTTGACTTGGTCTCCTCATTCAACATATCCAGAAAAAAATATTGCAGTAAACATTCACACACAACACACACTGACACACACACACATGTATATATATATATTCCTGTCCGTTATATTAAATATATATTTTTCGTTCCAATCCGGAAGAGAGGTAGTTGAACATTGTTTTTGTGGAAGAACTTAGCTCTTGGATTCATCGGTACGGTCAAATTGTTTTTGTGGAAGAACCTTCTATTGCCACGCCATGAGCTAGGTGAACAATGGTGGTGGTTCAGAATATATTATATTTCCACTCAAGATTATCCAATGTATTTAGCACAAAATTCAAGGGTGTCAAGTTGTTACACCTAAAATTATAGGAATATAGTATAGGCTAATATTTTAGAATCAAAATTCTCTCCAATGAGAAAAAAAAAATGGGCATCTAATATCCTATCAGTTAGATTATATTGTATATTAGGGTTACGGTTAATTGATAGTAAATTTCGTTACGGTAATAGAGTAAAATTTCACCTGTGTTATTATAATATCATGCAATGATATAAAATTTTACTTGTTTTAACATTAACCAGTTGAATTCCACATCATATAATTGATGGTAATTAACATTCCAGAAGACATCGTCTTCCTCCGAGGCTTTCAAGGTAGGATTGGAGTTATTGTAGTATGAATTTCACTTAGCTCATTCCTTTAATTTGGTACGAGCTATACTCAGCCCACCATTTACAAAAGGGCTAATCGTGTAGATTTTCCTTGGGAGTGATTCGAATTCACCATCATGATAGCATTATATGAAATCTTGAAAATGTCAATTCGTTAGTTTTGTTTTACGTTGTTTGGTTAGTTTTGTTAAAAAACAGTGATAGTGTTACACTATTTTTGACCTAATTGATGTGAGTTGATGAACAAGTGTGGTGTGCCCTCCTACCCAAATGCCGATGATCTTTGACATGTCTAGATTAATTTATGTCTCAAATTTCACGACTTCAACTATCAAAGTCACACGTGATCGCTGAACTATTTCGAACGTGTAACATTTTTGACTGAAAAGGAGCTTATGACTTTGATTTCTTTAAATTATTTATATATATATATATTGCACAAGGGTAGATTCGATAATTTAATCAAGTAGGAGGTTGGTTGGACTGGAGTATAGTCATGGTGGATTTGACACGTGTACACGGTAGGTCATGGCGGTTAAGTTTGTTGGAAGTCGGTTGTAGGCTGGCTTATGCGTGAAGCATCAGGAAACCGTGCCACGTGGACCAACTTGTTGATCCGATCTGATATTTTCTATTTTGGGGTTGACCACAAGTGCGATTTTACCAGTCTAACCTTACGTGTCAATCTGTCATAAGCTTGGATTTGTTGTGTGGACACGTCAACCCTCACACTCATACACCTCTTGCAAGTTCCAACATACTTATCTGGAACTAAAAAATTTTATTTACAAAAATAAATAATAAGGGAACAAGTCTAACAAGATATTTTGTTTTGATACTTTTCAAAGATATTCAGACTTTAATATCTTCTGATTACTATTTGATAAACCCTTTTTGGTTTTGGAATTTGGTTACTGAAAATAATACAAAGTAGTTTCTAGAAAATAGAAAAATAGTTTCTTTATACTATATTCAGTATTCTCAATTTAAATTTATATTCTCATAAAGCCAAAAGAATCAAACATGTAATGAATTGTCATGTTATTTTGTCTGTTAACACTATATATATATATATATATATATATATATATATATATATATATGCGCATACCTGGGTTGGTAGTGAATCTGGGAGTTAAGTCGTCTCACTTTCGAATTGCACTCCTGGCTTGAATGATGTGTGTATTGTGGGTTTGATACACGTGTTCTAAGAAAAAAAAAAAAAAAAACATCATATATATGTGTGTGTATATATATATATATATATATATATGGCTAAAATTATAAAACCTTCCTTTTTGTTTTAAAAAATTATCAACTAACCCACTCAACTAAGGAAATTAGTAGATTACCCTTTGATGTTTTCAAAAGCCTATCATATCATTCTCATTAGTTTCTCGTCTAAATTAACGGGATCGTATCACGTGTAATAGTTGTATCATTTTGCTGACCAAAATAACTTTGTAATTCGTAATAACGAAATTACCCTTCACACTATAATTTCAGTTTAATAACAAATGAATATACTGTCAAGGGCATTATTGTCATTTTAGCCCTTGTATGTATATATAAAATATGTATATGCATGCAGTTCATTTCAAAGTTTCAGCTGTTTCGGGGAAAAGAATAAAATAAGACGAAGAATTGTGATGCTACAAGATGGAAATAAGAAGTTGGAAGTCTCTTGATTCATACGGCAATGTGAAAAGGTGAGAAAACACACACAATAATGGGCTTAAAAGTGTGATAAAAACCAATATGACTTGGTGAACGCATATAGGTGCGTATACTTGAAAAAGGCGTGGCAAAAATGTGATCATGAAGCGTCCTTTTAAAGTTTCATTGAGGCATTACAATATATTGACCTTTTATATAGAAAATTATGTAAGCAATCATATCTTCTTCTTTTTTGTATTTTTGGCACCAAACCAAACCATAACATTATGTATGCAATCATATCTTCTTCTTTTTTGTTTTTTTTTTGGCACCAAACCAAACCATAACATTATGTAAGCAATGATATCAACATAAGTGCTTTTCAAGCTCTTGCAAATTACAATATAAAGTCAATGAATTTAAATCAAAGTTGGCTCAATTTCCGTTTAAAAGGAAAATTTGGTTCAAGGGAGAGGGAGGAATTTATATACACCCTTAAAAGAGAGAATCAATTGTTGGAAATAGGAGTAATGTGGTTTTGTGAAAAAAATTATTAAGGGATTAGGTTGCCACATAGGCAACTACATTATCAATAACAAATTTGTCAACTTGAAGTTGAGGTGGCACACAACACACACCTCTTGAGCTATATTTGGCGGCATGAAATTAGAGTGTTGGAATCCAATTCCTTCCAATTGCATGCCGCCAAACACAACCTTATAGTTTATTTGAAACGTCAAGTTTCTCTCAATTACATTAAAGCTGTATTTGGTTGCATGGAATTAGAATTGGAATTGGAATTGGTGAAATTTGATTAGTTGTTTTTAGGAGTGCACAAAAAACTGATTGAACTGATAAACAGAACCGGATCGGAAGGTTTGCTTCAGTTTTTTCAGAATTTGATTTGCTTACGCTTCCAAAAATATAGAACCGTTTATAAACGGTTCGGTTACGGTTTGAAGTTCTACAAGATCAAACCAAATCGAATCAAACCATTTTTATAAATTGTATATATATTTATATATTTTGTATTATATAAATAATAAATAATAAGATTAGTCTTTTTAATCACTCAACTATATATCATTATATAAAATAAAAAATTAAATTATATATGATATGTATTTTTAATTATATATATGATTGAATTATAAATAAGTCTAGAATTGTGAAATCGAACCGAATCAAATCGTTTTCCCACAGTTTGATTTGGATCGGTTCTATTGGTTTCATGGTTTAGTTCGGTTCTAATTTTTATGAAACCGTTAAGAACAGTTTGGTTCCAAAATATTCCCAAATTGGTCTAATCCGGACCGTGTGCATCCCTAGTTATTTTTTTCAAATTATACCAATTCTATACAACCGAACTGACCTTAAGAAAAAACATTATGCTTATGCCTATATATATATATATATATATATAACAATAAGGTTATTTCATTTTGATTAATTTGGAGGTCACATATTGAAATAGGAAAGTCTCTGATTTAAGACTCTGTACATCCAGGGGTAAAGTCAGGATTTCATTTTCGTACGGCACGTTGTACTTGTTAGGAAAGAAAAAAAGAAAAAGAAAAAAAATTCTTATGATGGTGTGGTGGAACATTTAATAAAATGATGGCGGGTTGGTTGTGTTGTTTAAATATTAGCCACATTAATTTTATTAATATAAAATGTTGACTCACATTTAATATTGGGCATGTTAGTTTGATTTTGCCCACAAAAATCAATTCAAGTACTGCTATAAAATTTGTTTTGTTTTTTGAAAATCACATCAAATTCATAAAAATCATTCCTACTTAATGCATATTAGAAGACTGTCTTTATGCATATATGGTCAAAATAAGCTGTTAAAAAAAAGAAAAAAAGAAAAAAAAAAGAAGAAAAAAGAATTTGATTGAAGATTGGAAATGTAATTTTTTTTTTTTTTTTTTTTTTTTTTGAAGAGAATAATAAATAAAGAT